CGCGCCCGCCGAGGGCAGAGCGCCGCCCGCGGCCCCCGCCGGCCCGCCCCGCGGCGGCAGCCGCTCCAGCGACGACCTGAGCGCCTACGCCAGCATCAGCTTCCAGCAGCGGCGCGACGTGTAGGAGCGGCCGGCGCAGGTGAGCGCCGGAGCGGAGGACCGCGAGCGGGAGGGCTCCGTGCCGGGGGAAGGGTGTCCGGGCAGGGCTGGGGATGCTGCCTCCGAGGGGAGCTTCTCGGAGCGGGTGGATGCCGAGTGTCTGCTGTGGGGAGTTCCCTGCTCCTGCTCTCCATTCACCAAATTGTAGCAAGGTGTGATGAGCTCGTGGTGGAAGAGCCTCGGGAAAGTTTCGCAGCCACCTCACCCTTTAGCCGTGATCCACTAGCTTAATTTTGGTGTCCCCGGTGACCTTAATATCTCCTGCCGATCTCAGCAGCAAGACTGTGGCACAGTGCAGCATCCCTGAAGCGGAGGCGCTCGGAAGGTGTGAGCTGCTCCTGGTCCCGGTGCCACCACCGCACGGTCGTGTGTGGAGGTTGTTTACCCAAGGTGCTTGAGTGTTCCTGTTGAGACAGACAGGGTTTTGTGGCTCCTGTGTTACCTCATCTGTTTAATGCTTGGAATTATGTGTACTTTTAAAAGCGCATGTATATGAGTGAATTAGCCTGTAGCATGGAGCTGGAAATTGGAAACTCGCATCTTAATCCTGGTTTTGTGACTCCTGTGGCCAAGGGTAGGGCAGCTAACCCTTCCAGCTCGGGCTTTCCCATGTGTGAGAAGGTGGCTAAGCTACTTCACAGGGCCGTGGTGGGTGATATTGCTCCGATCTTGTTCACAAAGTGTTTTTAATTTGAAAAAGGCTTTAAAGTCTTTAAAGCTAAAGCTAAATATGGTTGGTCTTTGCTGTATTGCAAGTTGCGTAAGAAATTGTATAAACTGTGTTTTTTTAAAAAAATAAGTTTTATATGGAGAAATAAGAAAAACATCTGTCAGATTGTTGCATTCAGATTACAGACATAAGATGAGTAGGAACATTGTTAAAAAAATGTTTTTGCTATGTAGAAATTTAGTGCAGCACATACTAAATATATTGTATTTCCAAATTGTGAAGTGCAGTTTACAACTTTAACAACGAAAGTTCTTTTGCATCCCCGGCACAAGCACTAGTAAGTAGCTACTTGGTGAGTTTTGTTGTGACACTCTTGATTTCCATCAGTTTTTTACATACTTAACAGCAGCAATTGTTACAGTGTAAGCAGTTACTAGAATGAATGTATACAATGCCAAACTAGGGGATGAATCTCAGATTGCTTTATTTCTTTGGGAGTGTAACAAGGTTACTACTTGTGTTGCTTGCTCATTTTGGGTAGGAGAGCACTGGGGGAGCCTCGCTAAGAACACTGGAATCGTGTGTTCTGTTTTTATAACTTGGACAAAAACAAGACAGTCTTTCTATATTCACTGCTTAGCACATGCTGCTCTCAACTGTTAGAGCAGTGCAATTCAAGTGCTAGTCCATTAGATGAATTTCTAAGTTCAAATAAGGTTCAAGACAGCCCGGGTACGCCGGTCTGTTTCAGTGGTGCCTGGTAGGAAATGACTATTTGTGTGAGTTTGTGCTGCGACTGTGCAGCCCATCACAGCATTTGTGAGCAGGCTTAAGCCACCCCACCCAGCTCTGTTCTGGGATGTCCTTTCGAGAGACTGTCTAGATTCTCCTGGTGCTGCCTGCAATTACCCCATCAATTCCTATCTGCCTGGGGCAGAATTATTATTGTTCTGAACTTCTAGGGAGGAGATTTTCCCCAGAGGATTCGGCATGTTGTGTTATAACTCATGGCTGGGAGTATTACTTTCTTGTTCGTGGCTAAGATTTGAGGGAGCAAGAGTGAGAGAGAAAGCACTGGGACACCAATAAACGTGAGCAAGAGATTGCAGGTCTGCTGCAGAGTGGTGTTGTTACCATTTTCTTGAAAGATTTTTCTAAAAGCAGAGTTTACTTTTGCTGTAGACAACTTAAACTTGGCCCCAACTTTTATGTTATCCATCATGGTGGTAGGTAGGTACCCACTGGGATTATGCTAGTGTGTGCAGGACCAGGACATAAAACCCCATTAGAGCGTGCTGGAAAGTGTTATGCAGATGGCTTTCAGAGTGGCACTGTGAAAGGTGCTGTCTAATAGAGCAATTGCTGTTTGAAGTTAGTGCTTCCCAAAATTAGGAGTGAGCTAAGCAGGTATAACCTCTCCTGGGAGGCAGAGGAAGGGAGCCAATTCAAAATCATAGGGAGACTTTGTAGCCATGGTCGTTTCCTCACTGTTTCCATTTTAAGGCTTTGTTAATTGCTTGTAGCTTTCCCACATACGAACCATTTTCCAGCTATTAACCCTAATCCAGCTATCTCGCCATCAGCTGAAAACTATCTCCACTAAATTCAGCCCAACTAGCTCCTCCGTTGTTGAGAGAATACTCTCAACAGAAAAGGAGGCCCTTTCTTTCTCTTTTCTTCCCATGTTAAACCATTTTATGGAGATTTTTTTTTTCCCCTTTCTCCTTTGGAGATGGAACTCAAGTTTGGCAGGGCACTTGGCCCAGTGTAGGATGTGCCTTACGCCATTCTTGAGAAAGTCTGCCTAGAGGTGAGTGATTTATAGACCTGCAAGTAGCTTGTTTGGCACATGCCTGACAAAGCAGTCGAGCACCTAAAGCTAAACCATTCTCCTGAAAGCGCCACGTGCAGCCCATGCGCTCCGGTCCCTCGAGCGCTGTGTGACTTGGCTGCCACCAGGCTCAGCTTGCTGAGCGTCACTGGGTGCTCCTCCCGGCAGGTGAGGCCATCGCAGCGGCAGCTGAAACCAGGGAGGCTTCTGCTGCTCGTCCTGCAGGTGTCTGAGCAAGGTGATGGAGAAAGGAAAAAGCAGCTTGGTGTATCTGTGGGTACAGCAGAGAGGAGAGAACATTTGAACGTATGGGAGGGAGAGGTGAAGCTGCAGGTATCAAAATAAGCAACAGGGAAGGTGGTGTTATTTTAAGTACACTTTCTTTGCTCTTCCTTTTTTTTTTTTTTTTTTAGACTGTAAATTATTATCTCTGCTTTTAACCTAAGAGAGGCAAGGAGCTACACCTGCTTTGCTCCCCCCGCCCAGCAGGGAAGCCTCCCTTTTGGCCCTCCTAGAGGTCAAAACAATTTGGATAAGTCTCGTTTTGTCCATTCTGGATGTTTTCTTCTTCCAGATTGCAAGACAGAGGCCTAAAAGGCTTCCCATCTGACTCTTAGTGGGCAAAATAACTCCGCTGCTTTGTTGAAAACTCTTCTTCTTTCCCCTAATCGTCTGCCAAGTCCCCTAGAGCTGCTCAGGCATTTCAGTCTTGAGTAGAAGAGTAGAAAGAGTAGTAACTCTTTCAAGCTACATATTTCATCAAAGATTGAAGATACTGGTTGAAATCACCTAACTTCCAAGCTTAATAATAATAAAAAAAAATCCTTTTGTATCCTTGGCATTCTTCTGCAATTTCAAGTCCCATTTCTTTCCTTGCTGTGTCTTCTTGGCTTTTTCCTAACAGCTACTCATGTCCTAGTCTTTCTAGTGCCCTTTCATATCCTTTAAAAAATGCAGCAGTTTTATACTGACTTTCATGCTTTTTGTTTTTAATGTTTTTGCTTCCATCTATTTCATGGAATTGGGTTATTCTTGTGTGTGTGGCAGACTGTAGCCTGCTACTTGGATCCTTTGATACGTGCACTTTCAGGCTGTAGTTAGAAGGCCACTTCGCTGTAGTGGCCAAATCATGCTGGAAAACGGATAGGAAGAAACTGAGGTGATAGATAGAGAGCAGAGAGAGCAATGGGGGTGCTATTAATTTCTCTCTTGCTTAGACTCTGCCATGTATGAGCAGATGTGAATGTGCTTCTTACCTGCCTTTGGGACTGCTATGAGAAAAGAAATTAGTAGGGATTTTGAAGATCAACAGCTGATAGTTTGTGTGCTGAGTACATAGCTGGAAAATATTCCAAAAAGGAAACAATTAAAGGTTGGCTCTGGAGGAACAGGAAAGGCTGTAGTAGATGGTTGAGTGAATCCAGGTATGCGGTTTTGTTCTCTGTAGCTTCAAAGCAAAGACATTATTTCCCTGCCTTATTTCCATTTTGTTGCTCAGTCTGGGAACTTGTGAAAGTGAGTGCTGCTCATAGATTATTGAAAGTCTTAGAGGTTACAGAGAAGCCCTTTATTTGCTTTACATTTGTCCAAAACTTTTTCAATATTTTTGTGAAATCTTACTGAACAGAGGTAGAATTATTGCAAGGAAAATGTTGTCCTTGTTTAGGACGTCTCCTGCAGTATTTGAGAGCTGTTGCTGTCCCTCCTTCATAGCAAGGCTCATTCTGTCACTGACATCCAAATATCTGTCCTCGGGGTCTGTCTAAACATGATTTTTCTGAGAATAGGGCCCCACCCTGGTGCTTTCACCTCCCTCCTTATTCCCTCTTGTTCTCCTCCTGCTGCTTTTCACAGTATTTTTTCTCAATTGGACTCTCTCATTCCATCAGTTTATGGTATTCCATCAATTTATCTCTGAAAGGAAACCAAGTGTATAGGCCCACTCCAAAGTGCTTCTGTTTATTTTTTTTTCCTGTTTTAATTGTTTAAATTGTTTTGCGTATTTGTAACATTTGTCTTAAGCAGTATTTTGGCATGTAGAAGGCACACTAAGTCAAACTGGAGGTGATCTTGCCATGTATTCCCCTGAATATCTACTGAGCAAGAGTAGGGTGAGGGTAAAGAGTGATTTGGAGATCTTCCAAACCCACCTGGATGCCACCCTGTGTCCCAGGCTCTGGGTGTCCCTGCTGGAGCAGGGGGTTGGACTAGATGATCTCTAGAGGTCCCTTCCAACCTCAACCATTCTGTGGTGTTTACCCAGTTTCCTGAAGTTGTTTTTACTTGTATGCTTTTCTTTGATTCTGTGTTAGTGAGATGCTCTAGGACAGATCCTCTGTTTAGAAAGTACGTGTGCCCCTGACTCCTGTCTAGATTTTTATTTTTTTCTTAATGTTATTTGGATATTTTTCTGGACTTGACAGGATGGTGGGCATCACTAAGGTAAGCAGGATTTTGCCTCCAGCTCTTCTCTCCTGAA